GGAGAGGGAGGTCTGGGCCTCCCTTCTGAAGCTGCTGCCCCCGCGACCCGACCCCGGATAGGCGGAAGAAAATGGATGGATGGATGGATGGAAGTAATAGAAAAATGCTTAGTTAGGTTAAAGTATGCTAGAAGTAGCAATAAAAAGCTACATTATGCTAAGCAAGAGAGAGAAAAAATTCCAATTAATGACAGTACTGTAAACTATAGCAAGATGAAGTGTTCTAAAATAAATAAAGCTAAAATACGCTAAAATTAGCTAGAGGAAAGCTAAAAAGGTAAAATAAATTAAGCTAACCTATGCCAAGATAAGCTTAAAAAAAGCTAAGATTACGATTAGCTAAAATAAGTTAGACTAGGATTTAAGACAACACTCTGTTGTTCACTTTGTAGTTTATTTATTAGCTTAACATGCTAAGATCTTTAACTAAAGGAAACAAATTAAGTTGTTTTACTTTAAAGGAGACATGTCATGCTTTTAAATCCTTCCATTTCACATTTAAATCGTTCAGTTGGAGTCTATATAAAGTGGAACTGCAATGCTTAGGTCTGAATTCCTCCTTATTGTAACTCCACAATCCCCTCTTTCACCCCTTTTCATCTCATTTTGAGGGTCTCTTTAAAGCCAAACAACTCCGCTCCCCTCCAGCTTTTGGAGCGGTTCATTGGAAACAACAGCCTAAACTGCATCGCTGTCATCTTTGTTTGAATCCATTTCAAAATAAAAGCCCCACGTTTATCCATATGCTGTACACTGAATGCTTCCAAACAGAATGATACATTTTGACAGTATATATAAATGAACCCATATATTAAATATATGGATTTCAACAAAATCAGTCTGTCTTTGGTGAATTGTTTTGAAAAAGCACGGATATTGTGCTTGTTCTTTTCTTGTTGGTGCGGTGTGATCTTTGTAGGTTGACTATGCACTTGCTTCACTGTAATGAAAACAAGGCTGAATCTGATTTTGGCAGATGGCTGTGTGTACGCCGCTGCCCTGCGGGTGCAGTGTAAATGCTCTCAGTAATTAGAATGGGTGTGGTTTTACTGTGGAGGTCGTATCAGAGCGGAGGCAATTTTCTGCGCTCCTAGAGACTCCAAGTACACAACAAAATGCATTTAATGGCTAAAAAAGCAGATTCTGCACGATATGTCTCCTTTAACAAATGACTTGAGTTGAATACAGGAGGTTTAAAGTAGTTTTGATCTCAGCAGATGTGTTTTGTTTCGATGGTTGAACATCTGTCTCGTTCCTGACAAAAGGACACTTATAGAATATTAACGCGTTGACTTATTTTAACCCTGTGATTGAGATCCTCCTCTGCCTTTCCCTCCCTCTGGTCCCTGTCGAACCTTATCAATCTTGTCGAGCCACTCCTTGTTGGACTGCAGCTCGGCCATGAAGGCCTGGTGTTTGAGCCACTTGCTGTGCAGGTTCCTGGCCTCGTCGTAGGACATGTCCTGAGCCGTCAGCATCTTCTCGTTGATCCACAGGTTCAACTGAGGACGTACAGACAGAAAATTATCAAACCGTTCAACTTCTTCGAGTCTGAACGGTTCTGACTTTGAACCATTTTACCTCCTGACAGTCCTGCAGGAACTTCTGCAGGTCTCTGTTGTCCTTCAGCCTCGACAGCAGGTCGTTGGCAGCCTGTCGGTTCTTCTTGCGTCTGTGGAGAAGAAATGATATTTCAGAGCTGGTCTATTTTTCTAGAAACCAGTCAATAAAGACCCCTCTGTCACCTCTGGTCGATGGAGTCCACCTTCTCTTGGATGCGCTCGGCGTTGACGTTGCCGTCAGCGACCAGGCGGCGCCCGGTGTCAACCACGCCGCTGATCTTCTCCTCGTTGGCATCCATGGTGGTCATGAAGTCCTCCTGCTTCTTGATGGCGGCCTCCGCCCCCTCCAGGGTGGTGGGCATCTCTGTGTGAGCCAGGACGTACTCCTGGACCACAAACACAAACAGTGCTGTCTGAATGTGCAGAAACCCAGTTTGAATTTAGAGGTGCACCAATAAATCAGCACAGATTTCCTTCATTCTGGGAGATTGGCCGTCTAACTCCACACAGGTCTGAAAATCAGACACTGCTCTGCTGTTACTCTACCTAATGTCCAGTTAAAACAATTTTGTATTGTTTCAAGGCTATTGTTCAATGTTTTACAGTAAAATAATATTGGAATATTGAAGCTGAATTGTGACCTGATAACACATTACAGTGTCAGGTATTTAAAAAGTCGATATCGGCCAAAATCAGAGTCATCAGGTCAGATTTTTTAAAGATCGGTGATCAGCAAACTGCAATCAGTGCACCTCTAGTGGAATTATACAAGAAATGAGTTTCAGCTCATTGCAGAGTTATTTGGTCACAATTAAAAAGCAAACTAGTGTTTCAGTGAAATAGACTGAAATGAAGACAGACTGCTTTTTCCTTCAATGATCACAGATTTAGTGCCCCCTTTTTTTTTTTTTTTTTTTTTACCAGAAACCCACTGCTGTAATAAAGGTTTCTACCACCAGATGGCAGCATGTGACCTCAGAGGAAAGTGATGCATCTAACAGACTGAAGTTTGGACTGGGCTCAGATCCTCTCATGATGGTTGCAAAGACTTTGATTTCATTTGAACTTTGTATAAAAACAAAAGCAGTAAATCTGTTTATACAACTACTTTTAAACTCAGGAGCACAAGTTTGGATAAATTTCCTTACAAACAAATACAAACCACACGATGTCTGCTCAGGAGCCCAACATTCCCACAGAGCCTCAAAAAAGATTTTAAGTTTCTCTATATTTTAATCTAATACCAAAATTCAGAAACGATTGTTTAAAAATCCTCTAATTTTTTTTTCTCTTTTGAGTGATCGTAACATCTGGTCATAATTTGTAATCACTTTGCTTGAAAAATTATGTTTTCCTGACCTTTAAATAAAGCATTTTTATCTATTTATTTTATCTGTATAAAAAGGATTTTTGACATAAATGTCGTAGAAGAATCAGATGTTTGGTTATACTGCTGGAGAAATTGAAGGCTTATATTTGGAGAAAGGATCATCTTGTGTTGTGACAAAGAATCCAGGGGCGGAGCTAGACTTTTGTGCAAGGGGTGGCTGCTGCACAGGGAAGGCCAACGTGTTTGTTTGTTTGTTTGTTTGTTTGTTTGTTTGTTTGTTTGTTTGTTTGTTTGTTTATTTATTTATTGGGGGACAAATAACGAAAAGCACTCTGTATTCGAAAATTCAAAGTGGGTGTCAAAAATACGCAGATCCAAATGGCTCTAATTTAGATTTATCGAGAAGTATGGATGTGCCAGATGTGGCGCTTGCTAACCCAGCAGCCCCTCTGGCTCCGCCCCTGGAAGAATCAACAAGGTGAAAGGAGTAAAAACACGAGGCAGTAAACGTTCAGGCAGTCGATGGCAGTCAGTGAGAAACACTGATGTGCTGCATGTTTTCTTATTTGACTGATTTGATTTTCAACTCTTTTTTTAGATATAAACAGAATTTACTGTTATTAATACGTCCCTTTTGATGACTTTCATTCTCGTCATTTTCAGTAGAGTGAAAATGAAGTTTTTCCTGCTTTTATGAAAATTCACCTAATGCATGTTTTTACATAATAAATTTCTGGTAGATGTTGAGAACAACCACACGGTCAGAAACCTGCATAAACAGAGCAGGAAACAGACTAACCATCTACTACCAGTAAAACATACTGTAGTGGCAACTCAAGCCAGTGTCAGCTCATTCTGCTCCTGAACTGAGCTGTGTATACTGTGGTTTGATAATAACTGATACATGTGGGGGGTCTAACCCACCTGAACGTTCATTTATTCTGCTGCAAAGAATTTCACACAAAAATCTGGACTGGAAAAACTGCTCTGACAGTCAGTTACTCCAGTTCCTGTCATTTTTAGTCAATGTTACAAATAGAAACTTTATTCTAAAGCCACAGGTTAAAGACCCCTGATCGATGCGCAGGTGTGATGATGGTGATGATGATGATGATGATGCTGGTGTTACCTGGTTGTTGAGGAAGGCCTCGGCCTGCTTGGTGTCCCTCAGGAACAGCTGGTAGGCGTGGGACTGGGACAGTAGGCTCTGGCGGTTCTCCCACATCTTGTGCAGCTCGTTCCAGCCCGTGTCGAGCGCCTGCAGCCGCTGCCGCAGGAACATGTACTGCGCGTCCGTCTGGCCCTGCGTCACCATCTCACCCATGTCCCGCATCTTCTGGTAGTCCTCCTCGTAGTTGCGGATCTCGTTCTTGATGCCCTCGTGCTGAGCCAGCAGCTTCTCGGCCTCGGCCAGCGTGTTGGGCATGTCCTCGGAGGCGATGGCCGTCTGGGTGCGAGACAGCCACGACTGGAAGTCGTCCAGGTCGCGGAGGAACTGCTGCAGCTTGCTGGCCTCGCCCAGGGACTCCTCACGGTTCTTCAACGAGTCCTGTTAACATCAAGAAGAAATAAATAACCTTTTTATTCTAAATCGAACTCACAAAGAATGAATGTGAAACTCAGTGGCAGCAGAAGCAGAGTCACTAACCTTCATGTCCCCACAGACGCCTGTGATCTCAGCCAGACGTCCTCTGATTGCCTCGGACTGCTCCGGGTGTTCGGAGGCTAACCGCTCGGCCTCTTTGCCCAGGTCGCTCAGCTTGTCTTCGATGGCCACCAGGTCTCGCTCCATCCCGGTCAGCTTCCTCTGCAGGGCCATGACGCCAGCCAGGTCATTCCCCAGCTCCTGGGTGGAATCGATCACCTGCAGGAAACAAGCTCAGTGTCGAATACAGAGGAAAACAATAGTTTAGAGCAGTGTTTCCCAAAGTTGGGGTCGGGACCCAAAATGGGGTCCCAAAACTTCAAGGTGGGGTCCTGAAAAGATTTTCTGAATTAATTACATTTTTGCCTTAGTTGTTACAAAGGAGTAAGGTTAGTGTATTTAAAATGGATAAATGTAGTATAAAAAAATTGTTACTATGTTTTGTTGACCTGATACAAATGTTTATCATCCAAAAACAGTTGTGGGTACAGGTCTCTGCTACTGTTATTTTGTGGGTCAAAAGCTGAAAGGTTTGGGAACCACTGCACTTTGGTTCCCAAAGTTGGGCTTTGACCCAATTATGGGTCATGAAGCACCTTGGATAATCTCCAGAAATCAATTTAAAGGATAATAAAATAATTGCTGATGTAATATTTTCCCTATAATTATTACAAAAACACAAGAAAAGTAAAAATAAGTATTTAAATGTGTGTACAAGCTGTTTGGATTGTCAAAAAGCCTGTGTTTTTAGGGTTATTAATGGAGTTCGTGTACTCAGACCAGTAATATTTGGGGTCACAGGTTTTTGCCATGAATATTTTGTGGGTCAGAAGATAAAAGGTTTGGGAACCATTGGTTTAGATGAATGGATATTTAGGTTTTACAGTGGCTGGGGATGACATTAAGCACTAAACTCAAGAAAAACAGCCGATTCATAAGTAATTACTGATTCTAACCTATTAATAATTATACAGATATACTGACTAAATTAAACTGCAAGGTTTGGTCACTTTGAGTAAAGTTCTGTGAGTCCGCTGCAGAGGCAGACCGGTTTGGTTCCGTACCTTGGTCTTCTCTTTAATCCAGGACTTGGTCTCGTTACACTCCAGGTGGTAGTTCTGGACTCCCAGAGCAGAGTTCAGGTTCTCCTTCTTCTGGTCCACCAGGTCTCTGAACTGACTCCACCTGAAGAGACAAACAGAAACAAACCATTTGTCACGTCTGATCCATCAGTTTTTAATCAGTATTTTTATTGACAATCTGATCAGTCTTTGAATTACATGATAAACCAGTTTATTTGTCATATCTTTTTTAAAAAGGGTTTCTAAACCTAACTGAACCAGATTTAAATATTTTAATAATAAGATTATTTACCAGTTTAATCTCAGTTTATGTTTCAGTCTCAGTTCATTTCTTCAGGCTCTCTTCCACCTGCTCTAATTCATGTTGCTGTAAAACCTCATTAAATAGGTGAAGACTGTTCTGACTAAATTGACTCCAGTTTATTTGACTAAATAAATAAATATTTACAGTGTCATCTGACTTACTTAACATTATATTTAGTTGTTTGATTCTGGTAAACACTATAGTAAATCCAGTTTTTGATGCTTGTTTGACCACAGTTTAATTTTCTGATAATCCTGGAGTTTAAACTCTTTGCACTTCCAATGTTTATTTTCTTTTTGTATAGGGTCTAATTAGTTTGGGTTTCCTGCAACATTTAGTCAATTTTCCGTTTAGAAAAGTACAAATTCTTTGTTGCCACAAAACTTGTTTTAATAAAAAGGTGTTAAATGGAGATTAAAGGAGACCAATTATGGGTCCTAGAAATGTTTATGGTATGTCTGTGGGCTATCCAGACCATGTTCATTCAATTTAATGCACAAAATAATTCTCAGATAATAACATTTCCCATTTTCTAGTTCTGCCTGCTCTGACTTCCGTTCAGAAGAGCTGTTTATGTTAATGAGCTCTGTTGGTAACGCCCTCCAAAAATCTATTGACATTAACTCCGCCCTCCAAAGCCAGCGTTTACGTTAGCATGGCTAATAATAGCAGAAGCTCCGTTGTACAACCATATGAGACCCAGAGGCAGAGTCGTGGTCCCAGCTTTTTTTCTCTCCCTCCTCTGCTCTGCTCTCACTCTGCATGCTGTTACCAGAGCTGAGAGCAGCAGCGATCAAAATACCTCAGAAACTCGAACAAACAGGCTTTAACAAGGCTTTAATAAGCTAAACAATAGAGGTACATGAGAAAACGTGTTCATAACGAATGAAAATAAATAATTAAATAGTGTCCATGCCGATCTCAAACCCTGGTCTCCCACTCTCTGGTCCAACACTCTACCCATTGCCCTATTGGAGGCTTGTTGTGAGATGAGCTGCGCACAACAACACGGTGACAGCTTTTTATACTGAGAAGGAGGAGCGTCACCCGGGGGTTGCTAGGTAAGGGGCTGAACGCAGGTTCCGGTGGGTTGTCGTACGGCTTGTGACATCACAAAATGACGGAAGTATAAAACTTGTCATTAATACACATTAAAAATACATTTACTTACAGTAAATATGCCCCTGGGTGCATTTTTTTGGTCATAGGACTGTTTTTTTTAAGAAGTAAATACCCAAAGTTGAGTAAAAAACCTTTAAAAAGTGAATTTTGCATAATAGGTCCCCTTTAATTTAGGTAAATCTAGGTTTAGAGGTGAAGGAGCTAGTTTTAATCCCAGATTTAAGTCTCAGTCTGGTTACCTGGTGTTGAGTTTGTCCTGCTGAGCTTTGATCTCCTTCTCACTGGGATGTCCGCAGTGGATGAGCTGCCGGGCCACCTGGTTGACCACGGCGACCCGGGACGCCTGGCTGTTCATCTCTGGCTCCAGACTCTCAAACCTGGACAGAGACAAGGAGGTTGGACCCATCAGGAAGACCTGAACCCTGCCTTTGTGTTTCCGTTGTTCCTCCGCAGGACGGACCCTGAGGAACCCGGTGCAGTCCTTACCGGTGCTGGATGACCTCCAGGTCCTCTAGTTTCTCGGGGATCTCCATGCTGTTGAGCCACTGCTCCTTCTCATCGATCCACAGCTCACAGGCGCTGGCTTCGCTCAGCATCTTGTAGAGCGCCAGGGCGTCCTGCAGAGCCTGCTTCCTGAGCCGGGTCAGCTCCGCCACCTCCTTGTAACGCTCCTCGATGCCCGCCAGCCGGGTCTGGACCTGCAGACACAAAAACCAGCACCGCGTGAAGACCGAGGGGGACCACAGAGACCATGTTCGTGAGCTGAGAGGCAGAGAGCTGCAGCTGTACCTCCTCAGAGTCTGCCTTCTCCGGCGGCAGCGTCCGGGCCTGATCGTGGAGCGCCTCGATGACGGGTCGGTAGCTCCCAATCTCCTCGGCGACATCTTTGTGTTTCTTCACCAGAGCCTGGGTGGAGAACTCATCATGGCCGACGTCCACGCTGGAGACGATCCGCAGAACGTCCAACATCCAGGTGTCGATGTCGTCAGCATCAGCCTGCAGGAAGGACATCCAGAGTGTTCTGTCCGTCATACGACTGGTCGACGGTTCTGGACGTTTGTTTCAAATAAAACAAGAAACACGTGAAGGTTCTGACCTGGAACTGGTGCTGGTTGCAGGCCTCCTGAAGACGAGCTTTACGGACAGCAGAGAGCCGCTCCAGAGCCGCCCACTGCTCCTACAGGGGGAAAGGTGGAAGAGTTAGTCCCTTTCAAAATAAAAGCGGGTTGTGTTTCAGACTCCAGCACCGGTGCTACCTGGATGTCCTGAATCCGTTCTTTGATCTTCTCGGCTCCGAAGTGGTTGTCGGCCACCAGCTCCTCGCCCTGTTTGATGGTCTGCTGCAGGTGGGCGGCTCGCCCGCTCATCTCGTCTTCGAAGGCTTTGTGCTGACTCAGCAGCCGCACGGCACCTGTCAGATCCTTCCCATAATCCTCGGAGGAGAGGATCTGCTCCTTCTCTCTGATCCAACCCTCCTACAAGAGCAGAACCGTCAGAGATGATCAGGATGGTTTTTACATCAAACACTTTGATGCCATAAATCCTTTGGAATCTTTTAAAAGCTCAACTTGAATTTATCCATCTTTGTATTTGCTAATTAAACAACACTTTCTATGATTATTACCTGAAGTTTTAAACATGTATAAATCACTACGAACTGATTACAAATCATCTATAATTACAAATGTTAAAGACTTTTTTCTATAAATGGTTTAGATCAGTTTAGTAACATCCTAACGGCATCCAGCAAACATTTATTCAATGAAATTTTTTAAACAATTTTTAAATTTCAAATAAGTTTTATTGACCTGCGCATTTCTTGATTTCAGACGTATTTTTATGCAACAATCCAGCTGATTGTTAAATCATATTTTAAGTGCATTTCACTAATTATTTAGACATTTGTTATTTTATTCAATATTTTAGGTATATTCCTTTCATTTAGTTGTTTGAAGATGTTTTTTATTTTAAAGGGATACTTCAAACAGTTTGAAATTTGGTTACATGTGATAATATTCCTGAAGAAAGTGACCCTTACTGCACAGGAAGTGCTACAGCTAGCTGCTCTGCTACTATAAGAACTTCCAGATAACCACAAAAGTCAATGGAAACAGATGCATAATGTGAAACTGACTTAAGTAAAAAGAAAATTATGATTAGCTGTAAAGTTTTATATTTTATTTAATTGACGAGGACAGTGATTCAGTTTGGTCTTTGCTCTCTGCTTGGAATGGCTGATCACTTATCAGCTGGGTGGGATTTAAATGTTCTGTCTTCAAACTGAGTTTGTTCAAAGAGCTACAGCTAATTACATGTTACTGATTTTCTACAGAACCTCACAAACATTCAAACTCAGAGTTGTAAAGTCACTAAGTACAAATACTTTGTTACTGTACTTAAGTAGAAATTTTGGTTATCTGTACTTTACTTGAGTAATTATTTTTCAGCGTACTTTTTACTTTTACTCATTACATTTTTACACAATTATCTGTAACTTCTACTCACTACATTTTTTTAAAAAAAGTAAGAAGTAGAAAGTCATTACTCCTATTTTATTACAAGTTTTTATTACTTAAAAAATACTATCCTGATAAAGTTTGTCTCCTGGATAGAGTCAATTTAATTGTGGTTGGAAGAGAAGTATAAATATATACCATTCTGACACACTATTAATTTGTACACAACCCATCACAGCTGCACGCCGTTAGAAAAAATATTTTTTGGAGAAGTCACCTCCCAATAAATGTCATTTTGGAAAATCTAACCATTCATTTTTACTCAGTACTTTTACTTTTAATACTTAAGTAGATTTTGTGTCAGAAATTTACCTTTTGATACTTAAGTACAAAAAATATCAGATACTTTAAGACTTTTACTCAAGTAATATTTAGAGAAGACTTAAACTTTTACCAAAGTATTATTATGATAAGATACTTGTACTTTTACTGAAGTATCACTTTGATGTACTTTGTACAACAAAGTTCAAACTACCTCTTTGAGTTACTGTATTTGTAAATCTATAAGCAAATAAAAATATAGATTGAGAATTTAAACATCTGAAATGCATCAGAAGTCATGCAGCATAAACAACAACAACAACAACAACAACAATAACAACATAATAATAACAACATAATAATAATAATAATAACAATAATAATAATAATAATAATAATAATAATAATAATAATAATAATAATAACAATAATAATAATAATAATAATAATAATAATAAAAAAAGAGTGCCAAACCTCTTCAGCCATCTCCCAGAAGAACTTCCAGAGGCGCCGGGACTCCTCCAGGCGAGCTCTGCGCTCGGCTGCCAGCTGGGTCAACTCCTGGTAGCAGAACTCCAGGTGAGCCACGCGGTCCCTGATGATCTGAGGGTCACAGGGTTTATAACCTGACAGAGAGGAGGAGCAGGAGGAGTGAGGAGGAGAAAAAGCACCAGACCAGGATGGAACAAACACAAACTGATGATCTGTGGTACCGTCTGTGTCTGTGGCGAATCTCTGAGCGTTGCTGTTGACGTTGCGGACTCGGTCCACCTGGATGCCGATGTCGGCCTCCACCAAGGCGTGTTTCTGCAGCAGGTCCTCCACGCCCAGCAGGTGTTTCCCATAATCCTGAGAGAGCAGCAGCATCTGCAGGCCAGGTCAAAGGTCAAAGGGTGCAGGGAAACAACAAAGGAACAATCAAACTTTATTATGACACTCAAGAAGGAAAACATGCAGCTTGTTTATTTATTATATACATTTAAAAGTTAAATTCTGAAAATGTATGCTTTACTTTAATGTATTTTTAAACAGACAAAAAAATCTCTTTTTTAAAGTCAAAATATTCCTCAACAATTTTGTTTCAGCACTGATAGTTTAAGCATTTTTTTCAAGATATTTTTGGTAAATAAAATAAAGGCATGAAACAAACTAATCCTGATAAAAATCAAGACAAAATGCTAATTTATCCACTCAGGTAATAAAACCAGTAGTTGTTTGGTGAACGACTGGTCGTACCTTCATCTCGTCCATCCAGTCCATGATGTAGAGCATTTCCTGGAAGACCCTCTGCAGACCCAGGTTCAGCTCCAGCCTCTGTCTGCGGGCCTTCAGCAGCTCCAGCAGGTACTCCCACAGCCGGATCACGTTGTCCTTCCTGGCCGTGATGCGCTTGATGTCGTGGTAACTCTCCGCCTCCAGCTCCTTCGCCACAGAAACAACTGCCTGCGCCAGCGGGAGGAGGAGGAGGAGACGGGTCAAACTTTCTGATTCTTTATAAAATACCACACTTGGTGGGATCCGTCTAAATCAGGAGTGAGGAGAGCTTCACCAGCGTTTGGACCGAACCCAGCACAGAACCAGCACAGAATCAGGTGATGGACTCACCTGAACCCGCTCCTCATAGGCTGCTATGTCTGTTTCTATGGCTTCATGTTTTTTGGTGGCAGCTTCAACGGCCTGCAGGTCAAATCCAAAATTATCCTGTTGGGGAGAGAACAGAAAGCAGGAGATGAGAGAAAAACAAGGAAAAGACACAATGAGAGGAGACAGGAAAGTAAACAAGAGAGAAGGAAACAACAGAAGGAACAACAAAACGGAAACAAGAAGAGAGAAATGTGTTGATTCAAAGTGATTCAGTAAGACAAACAGGTGTGTTCTACCTGTGAGACCAGCCTCTGGTTCTCGCTCAGCCACGTCTCTCTCATGGCGGCTTTACGGTCAAATCTGCGAGCGAGTTGCTCCAGTTTCTCTTGGCGAATCAGCTCCGTCCTCAACGCCAGCTCTCGCTCGTGCTCCGCCTTCTCCAGGCGCTCCCATGCCTACAACAAACACACCCGCGATACACAGCATGAGCGAATCAGAGGGTCACTCCGGTGGTCAAAGACCTACAGATTCAACCGAAGTCTGTGATTCTGGATATAAAGAGCTGTCCACATCAGTTTCAAAGCCTCCATTCAAGAGAACCCTTTAAAGAAAAACTCTGACTCATTGGAAAAATAGACATTATTTGATAAACATTTACTTCAACTATAATAACCAGACTGTAATACTGTTGGCTCTTTAGTTTTCATAAATCGATAAAAACATATTGCCACACTGACGCTAGCATGTTATTTACACCACAAAGCATTCTGGGTAAATGATGTTTCCCAGCTGTTTGGTGAAAGCTCTATCCAGCTTCAACATTAATTAGACACTGTCTGACGTTCAGACATTTTAAATGAAACCAGAGAGCATTGATAGAGAGGAGAATGTAAAAATGACTCAGCCTGCAAATAAAACCTGGATGGAGGACACCAGAGCTGCTTCATGGAAGGAGTACCTTAACTTTAGCCTGTTAGCTATTGCATTAGCTCCCGTGCTAGTCTATATATGGCATTAGCTCACATGCTAATCTATCTATGGTGTTAGCTTGCATGCTAATCTATAGGCTGTGTCCAAAACGACAGGCCGGGTCCTCCGGAGGACCCAGACTACCCGGTCGAGGCAGGCCGGGTCCTTGGTAGACCGGGAAGACCGGAAAAAAAAAGAGGCTGTGAATTTGGACGGTCTAGCCTCCCCTCCACCCCGGCGTACGTCATGTCACCTAGCAACAGTGACGACACTAAACAAGCAAACTTAAATCAAAATTAGAAAAATATCAATATATTATCATTATTAATATCACAAAACTATAAAATTAACTTAAAGGTAACATTTGAAGAACTAATTGACCCGCTGTAGGTTCATGTTTATTTCGCGTTTTTTAATGACAAAAATAATATTTAAAAACACGTCTATACAAATGATAAAAGTATTAGAATTACAACCGCCAATTTTTTAAAATTTTTGTATCGCCTTATTTTTATTTAAAACGTATTTTCTCTCGCTTCATCCGCCATTACTAGCATAAAAGAAATCTCCGATCGGGCCGCAATGCATTATGGGATATGCTGGGCCGGGAAGGATCCATCAGACCAGTCCTTCGATTTGGGCCAAAGGAAGGACGTATTTGTCAGCCGCATCGGAGGAGTCTTCGGTTTTGGACGGCCTTCGTCGCGGCGCTGTGACGTATGCGGCCGACAAATTCGACCTTCGGAGGACCCGGCCTGCCATTTTGGACACAGCATATGGCATTAACTTGCATGCTAATCTATCTATGTTGTTAGCTCCTGTGCTAATTTATCTTGAGCCATATATGGCGTTAGCTCCCGTGCTAGCCTATATATGGCGTTAGCTCCCGTGCTAGTCTATATATGGCATTAGCTCACATGCTAATCTACTTATGGCAGGGTTTCCTCTAGGATTTTTTTTTAACTGCGGTAGTGGTGGTGGGCTGTTGGGGCAGGGGGACTAAGAAATTAGATTTTCATGTGTCACAAACAACAACTTTTAGTAAAATAGAAAAACAACATTTGAAGGCCAACAAGTAGCCAAAGATCCCTTTAAAAATTTTAAACTGTGCCCACTCTTGCGGCTACGGGTGCAGCACTTTCACAGAAACTTAATGTGTTCAGTCCAGTATTGTGTTCCCACCAGAGTCATCTGAAATGGGACTCAAAGTTTATTAAAGGGATCTCCGATTAGTTGTAATATTAGTCTTTGTTTGATAAACATATACTTTAACTGTAAAATAAAGACTGTAAAAATACTGTAGACTGTTTAGTTTTTATAATTTTACAAAATATATTTTAACACAGATGTAGCCATTTTATTTACACACAAAGCACTCTGGGTAAACGATGACATAAAGTTTAAGGGAAGTCACCTTGTTGATGTCAGAGATGAGTTTTCCCTCTCGAGGAGTGTAAACCTTCTGATTGTTTGCTCTCATTTTACTCTGGATGGTGAACAAAAGGACCTCCAGGTTTCCTTTTTCTGTAAACCTGCACAAACAAAAACAAACCCACGTCAGGAACTGACATCAGTGGACCACAAAAATCACCAAACTACAGAGCTGAAGCCTGATGTTGCCACTGACTTGGGTGGTTTCTCCACAGTTCGGTACGTGTTGAAGGCCTGCAGCTGCTGCTGGACTCCCACCAGAGAGTTGGCGAACTTCCTGTTGTTGAGGATGATGATGGTCTGCTCGATCCACTCCAGCAGGTCAGACGCCAGAGACTCGTACTTCTCAATCATCTTCTCCGTCTCAATGGCATTATCCAGAACCTGCAAGACGCAGCCGAGGGTTTTAAAAACTCTGACCAAACTCAAGCTTTTCCTAAAATAAATTTTATTTTACTATCACAATTAGGGAAAAAAAACAGAATAAAACAAATCTAACAGATAAATGAGACTAAATGTTTTGTTTACATCAACAGACATTTTAAATCTCTGTCTTTATCTGTTTAGAAAGTTTTGACAAAGTTTTATTTTCTTTTATTATATCTTTTTTCGGAGTAATAATTTTTTTTCTGACCCATTGAAACTAACCTGAATCATAAATGTCACTAAAACCTGATTAATATTGGATGTAGAAATGAGCGATATAAACGATATACGGTAGAAACAATATAAATTTGTCCTATGATACAGATCTGTTGTCTACCGGCCAACCGCGCAATTTTTTATGACGACGTAACCAGCTGGAGTCAAAACAGAGGAAGCGGGAAGCAGCGTGGCTGAGAGCGCAAATGAAGAGGGGGAAAAAAACTTATCTGGACCTGGTTTGGGTGTGGGAAAATGAACCCCGAACTGTTAACGTATTTATGTGACGGCGCGTCCTCCGACCGACCACACTGCCTGCTGCGGGAGGAGCGCTGCACATGGTGACGCAGCGAGGCGACAGTCAGTGCAGGTGAAGCAGTGCTCCAGGACGCACAAAAGCTCGCTGAGTCTGGACCTCGTTTCTCCTGCGGTCATAGCGCGACGATGCACGGCCGAATGTGTTCCAAAGCGCGACCATAACTCAGCCTTTACTGTCTCCTTGTACAGCGGGGAAGCGCTGTGGTAAAGGCTGACAGTCAGACTGTCTTTCCAAAAAAAAAAAAAAGTAAAGCATAAATGGGATGATTGTCACCCCGACGGAGCGTGCACAGACTAAACACGTGGAGTGCAGAAAAAATAATCTGCAAAGTGTGTAGAAAGTAATAAATACAAACAATTTGTTTTACCACCTTAAAACAAAGCAGGTGATTCCAAACACAACATCCAATGGATGCAGATATCTATTACATTAAAGTTATTGTGTGTGTGTGTGTGTGTGTGTGTGTGTGTGTGTGTGTGTGTGTGTGTGTGTGTGTGTGTGTGTGTGTGT